GATGGATGGATAGATATATAGATAGGACATGACTTGGATAGATAGATAGATAGATAGATAGATGGATGTATAGATAGACGGATAGATAGATAGATATATAGATAGATAGATAGAAAGATAGATGAATAGATAGATAGAGAGGTAGAAATATAGATAAATAAAGATAGATAAATAGGTAGATAAATTGACTGATTCATTAGATAGATAGATAGGATGTGATAGGACTTGGATAAGTGAATAGATAGATGGATAGATACGTTTGGTGGATATTGATATAGGTGGATAGATGGATGGATATATATGATGGTGGATACTGACAAGTGAATGGGTAGATATTTTGGTAGACAACGAGTGGATAGTTTAGAGTAGATGTAGACAGATAAATAGATGGAGGGATAGGCGAATAGATGGATATGTTAGTGGACTGGATAGAGATGATAATGGATAGAGAGATGAAGAGATAGAAGTATTGATAGACAGGCTTACGTACAGATGTATGAATTTGCAGTTAGCAGGACAGTTGCAATAACAAAAAATGAAACTGATAAATGTCATCTTCATATTTCCTTTCGTCCTTCACCTTTTCTCTCTTTCCTTTCGTCTGTCCTTATTCTCTCTATTCTTTTATATCGTTTTCCTTCCTTCCTTTCTTTCCCGCGTTCTCCTCGGTTCTCCACTCCCTTTCTTCCTTCCCTCACATCTTCCTTCCCCTTCCCACGTCTTTCCTCTGTCCTTCCTCCCTTTCTGTGCCTCCCTTCTTTCTTCTCTCTATCCTCTCCGTGTTCCGCCGCTCATTCCTCTCTCCCCTCTTCCTCATTTCACACCTCTCTCTTTTTCCTACTTTTTCCCCTCTCTCTCTTCTCCTTCCTTTTTTACTTTCCCCCTTTCTTTCCTTCCCTCTCTTCCTCTTTCCTTCACTCACTCACTCGCCCATTCTCTTCTTCCCTCCCTCCCTCCCTCCTTTCCTTCTTTCCCTCCTCTATCTTCATCCTTCCCTTCCTTTGTCTCCCTCCTTCCCTCCCCCTCTCCTTCTTTCCCTTCTTCCCTCCCTCCCTCCCTCCCTCCCTCCCTCCCTCTCAGGTGCATATGCGGCGCCGGCTTCACGGGACCCTACTGCGGCCGGCAGTGCCCTCCAGGCCGGCATGGCCACGATTGCGCTCACCTGTGCCAGTGCCCGGGCGGGGGCCAGTGCCACCGCGTCACCGGGCACTGTTCCTGCCCGCCGGGTAGGACTGGACAGAAGTGCCGGCAACGTGAGTGATTTTATTGATTTTTTTTTGGCGTTGAAAGTTATAATGAGGAATATAATGACGGATTAAGTATCATTGATGATGAATGTGAGGATAAGGATAAATTCGATATTATGGATGACGGTGAATGGGCAATATACTGAATATTTATGGTTGTCATATGAGGAACAGTGATAAAGAATGTGAATATATGCTTATAGATAAGTAAATACATAAATGTGTGCATGTATGTGCGTGCGTGCGCTTGCGTGCATGCTTGCGTGCATACCGTGCGTGCGTGTAAAAGACCAGCAAGAAACCCCCCTTTGCAATCCGCGCCAACAGCGTGTCCGGAAGGCGTGTACGGCGTGGACTGCGCCATGAGCTGCAGGTGCGAGAACAACGCCACGTGCGACCCTGTGTCCGGCGCCTGCACGTGCACCCCGGGTGAGTCTGTGGGCGTGCGGATGGCCAGGCACGAAAGGGAGGGAGGGGCGGGGGGCATTGCATACAGCTGGGTCGATCAATAGACATTGCCGTTTTGACTATTACACGGGCATTGACTCAACTGATTGCTAAACAGGTAATGTTGATATTACCATTAGATATTATACAGAATCAATTGAATATCTAATAGGTACTGTTAATATTGCCAATATTATCAAATATTACATAGGTTTATATGACCAGATATTACATAGGTGCCATTACACACAAGGCATTATTAACACTGTCATTAAATTTTCCCTCCACAGGATGGCAAGGCAGGTTCTGTTCCGAGCCATGCCCCGCGGGGTTCTGGGGCCGAGAGTGCCGCCGCGTGTGCGAGTGTGGCACTGGGACCTGCGAGCCTACCACGGGGGACTGCATCTGCAAACCGGGGGAAGAGTGTGCCAGGGGTGAGTTGAAGAGCGAGGGAGGACAGGGAGGGGGCGAGGAGGGCAGGAGGAAGGGATGGATGGAGGGAGGAGGGCAGGAGGAAGGGAGGGAGGGAGGAGGGCAGGAGGAAGGGAGGGAGGGAGGCAGGAGGGCAGGAGGAAGGGAGGGAGGGAGGAGGGCAGGAGGAAGGGAGGGAGAGAGGAGGGCGGGAGGAAGGGAGGGAGGAGGGCAGGAGGAAGGGAGGGAGGGAGGCAGGAGGAAGGGAGGGAGGGAGGAGGGCAAGAAGAAGGGATGGAGGGAGGCAGGAGGAAGGCTGGGAGGGAGGAGGGCAGGAGGAAGGGAGGGAGAGAGGAGGGCGGGAGGAAGGGAGGGAGGAGGGCAGGAGGAAGGGA